TTATACTTAGAGATGCAGTGAAACTTTCCATTGCAAATCACAAATCCTTTGACTAATCAGCTAACTCATTACAAAGTTTGCAGAGACATGATTTACGTGTTTGATTATGAGCCATATAGTTTGATGGCAGTGCAGGTTTTCCCCGGTCCAGCTCTGAATTTGATTTTTTTATGTTTTCTCTTGCCCATGACACCTACCTCCTCTTTCCAGGGCCATTTCCACAAAACTAGTGATCAGCAACTTCCCTTCCTGGACCCTGTGTCAGCTGATATTGTGAATGGTTCCTCTTCCTCAGGAAATATGCTCCTTCCTTGATTAATGTGTTTCTAGCCCAAGTTGTTAAGATCCCTGCTGATAGGATTACTGGGCATGTCAGATTCCTGTGTGAAACCTGGTTTGATGGACCATAAGCTGCTTGTTTACTGTGTTGGTTAGCCACTGAATATATTGACAAGCGGCTGCCAATTTACTTTTAACAAAGAACAGAAATTTTATTACACAAAAAGAAAAAAAAAATTGACCCATGTTGCACTATACAAAAACCACATGAAAAAGTATTTTTGTAAATAAAGATTCAACACTTTTACTCTCATAACAATCTTACAGACGCTCAAGTGTTAATGAAGGGTCTCTCCATCTCCACTTTAAGCTTCCATGTTCAGCTGACAGGCTAAAATTGGCTTCTAGAGTTTTTTTCTCGCTGAATACTAATCACCTTCAAAGTAAACAGTCATCTCCCAGTAGCGTTCTAACCATTTTTCTCAGTAGCTTAGCACTTCAGCCTCCACTCTTCACCTACAGACACACTACCTGACTTTCTGGATGTTTCTGTCTTTGCCTACCTGGATCATTGTATACAGTGTTGCTAGGCAACAATGCTATCCTTATACAGTTCTTTCCTTAGTCCACTAAACTGTTCACCTCAAGGGTTAAACACTTCATTAAAATAGATATAAATAAACTCCAGACACCCGGGCACCACCCACAGAACAAATTTAGAATGAAATTAAAGCTATGTCTCCTTCTCAGTGCACACAATACACATATACAAATATAGTTTAAAGCTACAGTTTGTTCTTGCAACCTGGAACCTAATTTTCCAAATAACAGTATATTATGAACTTTGATCATAAAGGAAAGAAACAACATTCAGTGCATTTTATGAAATGGAGAGAGGTGCAAGCGGAGCATATTTCAGTGGGAAAACATTTGGGAAATCATGCACAATATCATTAGCTTTACAGCGGTTGGGGAGATGGTGGTAGAGTGGAGAGGTCAGTGAACTAGGCATCCAGAGAATCAGACTAATGCTCTTGAGACACAGGTTTAGCACCATGGCAGCTGGTAGAATTTAAATTCAGCTCATTAAAATCTAGAAGATAAGGTCAGTCTTAGTAATGGTGACTATGAATCATTGATTGTGGTAAAAACTGCTCTTGTTCACTTCAAGACCACAAGATACGGGACTAGAAGAGGACTATTTGGCAGTTTGAGTCTGCTCTGTCATTTATTGAGATCACAGTTTATTTGATTATTCTCAACTTCACTGCCCTGCCTTTTCCCCCTTAATGCTTAATTCCCTTTCTGATTTAAAAATGTGTCTATCTGAGCCTTGAACACACCTAATAACCTAGCCTTGACAGCCCGCAGTGGTAAAGAATTCCATAGATTCACTACCCTCTGAAAGAAAATTGCTTCATCTCTTCTTTTTAAATGGATTGTCACTTTCTCTGGGATTATGCCTTCTGGTCCTAGAGTCTCCCACAAGGGGAAACCACATTTCCACATTAATCCTGTCAAGCTCCTAAGAATCTTATATACTTGATAAGATAAACCTCTCATTCTTCTAAACTCCAATGAATTCAGACCCAACCTACTCAATGTCTCCTCATAAATCCATCTCTCCATACCAGATACCAGCCTAGTGAAGTTTCTCTGAACAGTATCCAATGCCAGTATATTTTTTTCTCAGAGAAGGGGCACAAAACTGATCACAGTGTTCTAGCTGTGGTCTGACAACTGCCTTGTATAGTTTTAATGAAACCTCCCCACTTTTACTCTCCTTTCCTTTGAAACAAAGGCCAACATTCCATTTGCCTTCCCTAATACACACTGAAATTGAATGCCAACCTTCAGTGATTCATGCACAAGGAGCCTCAAATCCCTATGTGCTGTAACTTTCTCCAGACTTTCTCCAGTTAACTAATATTCAGTTCTTCTATTCTTCCTGCCAAAGGTGCATAACCTTTTTATTTTCCCAATAGTATTCTGTCTGCCAAGTGTTTTCCCACCCACTAAAGCTGTCTATATCCCTCTGCAGACTGTGTCATCCTCACCACTTGCCTTCCCACCTAATTTTGTACCATCCAAGCCATTAACACACATTGTAAATAATTGTGGCCCCAGCTCTGATCCTTGTCATAATCCACTAGTTAGAGGCTGCCAGCATGACAATGGCCCCTTTATCCAGCTCTTTGTTCCAAGTTAGGTAATCATCCATCCATGTTAATGTCCTATCCCCAACACCACAGGCTCTTATCTTATTAAGTAGACTTATGTATGGTACCCTAGAAATTTTTTGGAAATCCAGATATACTTAATTTACTGGTTCTCTTTATCATTCCTTCTGGTTAGTTTCTCAAAGAATTCTAGTAAATTTATCAGGTATGATTTCCCTTTTGTGGAAGACATGCTCACTCTGCTTGATCGTGTTATATAGTTTTAAATGCTCTGCCATTATTATTTAGGCTCTGACATAATTAGACTCTGTCCGATAACAGGTTTTAAGCTAATTGCCATAAAGTTACCTGTGTTTTTGATTCCTTTCCTTTTTTAAATAAAGGCATTACATTGGCAGATTTCCAATCATCTGGGACTTTTCCAGAACCTAAAGACCCTATTTGCTGCTTTTGTTATGATTGTACACTCTCTCCCTTCCTGTCCTACTCTGGGCATTATTATCCAAGTAGCTGCCCTGTACTGATGCCATATCTTCTTGCTTTGTAAGCTTACATTTCCCCTCTCACAAACCCTTACCCCATTACTTCAGTCAAAAGCCCTCTCTACAGCCCTACTTATTCAATTTGCCAGGATACTGGTCCCAGCATGGTTCAAAAGAAGCACATCCCACAACAACAGCTTCTTTCTTCCCCAGTACTGATGCCAATGTCCCACGAACTGAAACCCATTCTAATCCCAAACGAACCTTTGAGCCACACATCTAACTCTTCGACTTTATGCTCCCAATAATTTGCTCGTGGCTCAGGTAGTCATCCAAAGTTTAGTAACTTGGAGGTTCTGCACTTTAGTTTAATTCCTAACTGTTTGAATTCTTTCAGGAGAAACTCCTTTCTAATCCTATCAATGTAGTTGGTACAAGGTGGATGATGGTAACTGGATCCTTGTCCTTCCCATTCCATTCCAAATTCACTTCTAGCCCTGAGAAGATATCCTAGCCATGACACCAGACAAGCAATACAACCTTCAGGACTCCTGATTACAGCTGCAGAGAATAATATCTATCCATCCCCCTCATTATACTGTCCCCTACCACTACCACATTCCTGTTTCCTACCCACCCGCACCACCACACCCCCCCCCCCCCCTCAAACTTCCCGCGTCAAAGTGGCATGGTCAGTTTGCTCTTTCTCTCAGGATTCCCCACTCTCGTCCAAGTTTACAGAAACCTCTTCATTGCTGGACAATCACAGGGTCAGAGGCTTCGTGCATGCTTACCCTGAATCCCCATATCTGCAGTCACACCTTCACAGACCAAGTTTGAATGAACTAATATAGATATATAACTTTCCACTTCCCTAATCTGTTGCAATATCTGCAGCATTAATGTTCCTTTAGGGACGGAAATCTGCCATCTGTAACTGGTCTGGCCGACATGTGATTCCAGAATCATAGCAATGTGTTTAACTGTTAAGGAAGTGGCCTCACTCAGTCCAACAGCGGTTAGGGACAGGTAACAATAGTGGCTCTGGCTGCAACACTCACATACCATAAAAGAATAATAAAAAGGCATCATAAACGACAACAAAACATCAAATGTGGAAGTACTGAACTGTACTTGGTTTTGTTGGCCGGAATTTTCCCAGCCTCTTGCAGCTGAATTGGGCAGCAGGGGGGCACTGGGAAAATCTTGAAAGATTAACCTTGAGCTAGCTTTCTGATATATTCCCACCTCTGACCAATTGGCTCACGGGTGGACTGGCTCCACAAGCAGCTACCCAGTAACAGAGGTGGGAAGCCAACTAAGGCCAACAAAAGCTGGCATGCTTATAGTGTTCTGGCAGCTTTCCAGATGCAAGAACACAGCGGAAGGTCAGTGACCATGATCCAAGCTCGCAGTCTCTCATTTACAGATGCAGAGAGGTCCCCTTATCTTAACACAGCTAGAGTCGGAAAGATCTGAAGTACAGAAAAATGCCCTTCTGTTCATTGACTCTGTGCCGTTCAGAAAAGAGCACTTAACTATTCTAAATCCCAGCACTTGGCCCATAGTCTTGACATCACAAGTGCACATCGAAATCCTTCCTCAATGTTATGAGTGTTTTTGCCTCTACCATCGTGTCGGGGAAGTTAGTGAATCAGTTGTTGAATACAGGCATTTCCCCTGCTTGCTATTCACTAAGGCGGTTCTGCCCACTATTTTTAAAATGCCATTTCCATCAGTAGGTGAGTGACTCCATTCTTAGAGGGGGCAAGGTTCAGTCAGCAGTCAGTCTACTGACTGGGAGAAGAGTTTGTAGGTAGTTGGCCTGAATGCATGGAGATTGCAGAGGGTTTGACGACCTCTCTCTCTCTGCAATGGTGTTGTTCAATTATGTGAGACACACATTTAAGAGACCCTGGTGAAGATCAGGAGTCTTGGCAGTGGCATTGGGAATCTCAGCATGGGGTTTCAGTCACAATTTTCACCTTTTTGTGGAGTCTCCCGAACTCCATGAGAGTTCAGGTCTGCATTTAAAACAGAAGCACACATGGAGGGAAAGGTCTTTACAAACAGATTTATTAAACAGTGCCATGAGATAGTTACAGAGCCAGGCATTATGAGGCAGAGGGTGATACTAGATCAACACTCATTCTAACACAGTAATCAGGCATTGTCTTCATTCAAACAGTTGTGACAAACCTTGCCCAGTCTATAGATTGAGGAGTGTGTTAAAGCTGAGTGTTGGGTTAACCATAGTTTGATAGGGTGAATAATGACAGCCTTGCCGAGTGAGATAACAAAGTGATCTTCCTGCTGTGTTGTTGGGGGCAGACTGACCTTACTTCCCCCTGGGGAGTTGATGGCTTTTCCTCCCTTGCTTAGAGTGTGATGATACTATGGCTTTAAAAGGTGCATTTTGCCCTTTTTTTTGAAGAGAGGTTTTAAGGGAGAGGTACAGGGGTGTCTATTTGAATCCTATAAACAGCTTGTGGGGCTTTGGGTTTTTTGTTTGAACAATGGAAGCAGTTTAAAAGGGTGGTATCAAGCTCCCACAGAACCAGGACTTTTGGTTTTAGTTTTTCAGTAGCAGTTGCTGGGGTCTTGAAGCCGGATGGCAAAGCTGTTTTTCCTTTGTCTGTTACAGCTAAAAGCTGGGGTTCTCTTCCTGCTGCTAGAATTGCATGTGAGACAATCTATTTTACTAAATTTGCCTTTGCCAAGGGTGTGTTTGTAAGATGTTAATATACTACAACAGTTAATTAGCAATGGTTAATATATTTTCTAAGCATTTCGATAGAGGTGTATAGTTAAGCAAATTCTTATATTTTAATTTTGTCTGTATTTTAACTGTAGTATAAAAATAAAGTGTGCTTTGCTTAACATTGAGTAATTTGATCAATCAAATTGCATCTGGAATTCGACAACTTCCTCTTACCTTTAAAATAAGAAGAATTTAGGGTCTAGACTATCTTCTGAATACATTTTCAGGGAGTTTGATCGTAACAGTAGGGATATGTTTGGCACAGTGGAATTCTTTTACACAACAGAAGTAAGTGTGGAAAGGCAATGAAAGTTATTAGGGGGTATTTGGAATATTGGAAGATTATGTAAAGATATAAATATACAAAAGTTAGGCTGGAAAATAGAAGATAGTTCACCTAACCCATCCCATGAAGTGGTGGTCTTAAGCAGGATGTTGACAAGTTCTTTAACCTCAATATGTCATTCTTGTTCTGCATACAGTTCAACAGAGTCCAAGTCAACATAGAATATAATACAATTTAAATGATTTTACAAATATGCAACAGATAATTTTAAAATCAATTTCATTACAGTAATTTCATAAATTTATAAGGAATCTTTGTAGTTAAAACAGCAGTAAACATTTGCATTTGTCATCATATACAGGAATCAAAATCTTTCACAATAATGACCATCCATTGTTGTTATTCCCATTAAAGAAAAATTTGACCATTAGATTTTCATTTGAAAAGTACTAGGATGAATCCTCTGTTCCCAATGCACAGTTTTGTAACCTATAAGAGACAGAAGTGAAGAAAGTAGCACTGATGACAGTGGTTAGAATTCAGTATCTGCAGACACATGAGTTGGAAAGTCTCCAAGAGTAGGAATTGCATTTTGTCATTAGCCTGAGATGTTACCCAGTCTCTATGTCATGGGATGTGGTCAAAAGGAGAAGGCTCAGAGCTTCCTCCAATTCTCAGCTCATTGGCATTGTAACTTCCTTTACTCCACCATTGAATTTCAGCTGGATTGGCCCTGATCTCGGAAATTTCCTCTCCATCACTTTATCCATTTATTTTTCTTTAAGATACTCCTTGGAATCTACTTCTTCAGCCAAGATTTTGATCAGCTAAAATGTCCTTTTGAAGTTTGGATTCACGTGTTTATTTGAGTATATTCCTGTGAAGTACCTTCAGGTATTTTACCATGTTAAATGTGGTGGATAAATAACTACATTCTTATTGTTACAAGCTGTTACAGCACAGAAAACAAAACAAGAAGACTTTTCTTTTGCCTGACGTTCAAACTGTTGCTCTAATCTTTTGGGAAAATAATTCGCCCTGTTCATCTTTCCTTGTGGCTAGAAATCACTTGTTCTGTTTGAAAAACACTTACGGCCAGCATTGTCTCAGAACATTGCTTTTTAGCAGAGATTTTGAGGCTTTCGGAAATTTCTGAACAGCAAGATGATGGGTAGAAGTTGATGGAGTGGGTTCATGATCATTTTTGCCTCTGATTTTTCTATACACATAAATAACCATTTTACTATCTCTTTGAAGAGATGATATACATATCCTCAAAAATTTCCAATGGTTCAATATTGGTCATAGTGCCTCCAGCCACGAGCATTCTTTCCAAATTTATAGACCAACCTGCGGCCATCCACTCGCTCCAGGATTTCCCGTTTGTAATAATATCTGTACCGCACAAAGAAAAGATCAATTAGTGCATCTCTGAAGAAGGGTCCTGACCTGAAACGTCAACTTTCCTGCTCCTCTGATGTTGCCTGGCCTGCTGTGTTCATCCAGCTCCAGATATAACTTTGTTATCTCTGACTCCAGCGTCTGCAGCTCTTATATCTCTGATATCAATTAGTGCAGTTGTCTTAATGGATTAATCACTGGGTATAGATTTGCAGTCTGGTACAAATTGAAATCCTTCTTAAAATTGGACTTACACCCTCCTGGTCATTTATTTTAATAGGTTTCAATGAACAAGAGGGAACCAGGCTGCTAAAAATGTAACCAAGAACAGAATAAAATCCCCATGTACATATATACAAACCCATGATTGGGAGTTGGAGGAGATAAAAACATAAAGTGCTGGAGAAACTCAGTAGGTTTGGCAGCATCTGTGGAGAGAGAAAAACAGAGCTAACATATAGAGTCTTATAGTGTCATAGTCATAAAGTCATATAGCACGGAAACAGGCCTTTCGGTCTGACCATAACCCCAAACTAAACTCATTCCACCTGCCTGTGCTTGGTCTATTCCCCTTCAAACGTTTCCTATTCATGTACTTAACCAAATTTCTTTTAAACATTGTACCCGTACCCACATCTACCACTTCCTCTGGAAGTTCATTCCACACACAAACCAATGTCTGTACAAAAAAATTGCCCCTCATGTCTTCTTTAAATCTTTCTCCTCTCGCCTTAAAAATATGCCCCCTTGAAAATCCCTGACCTTAGGCAAAGGACATCTGCCATTCACCTTATCTATACTCCACATGATTTTATAAACCTCTCTAAGGTCACCCCTCAACCACCTATGCTCCAGTTCAAAAAAACCCGGCCTACTCAGCCTCTGCTTATAACGCAAACCCTCCAGTCCCAGCAACATCCTGATATATTTCTTGTAAGCCCTCTCCAACTTAATAATATTCTTCCTATAACAGGGTGAGTAGAACTCGACAGAGCACTCCAGAACAGGTCTCATCAGCATCTTGCACAATCTCAATATAATGTCCCAACTCCTGTAATCAAAGGTTTGAGCAATGAAGGCAAGCAAGCTAAACACCTTGTTAACCACCCTGTCTGCTTTATCTCTTCTTCAGTTCTGAAGTGTCGTTTCAGAATTTCAGATTTCTGGCCTCCAATATATTTTGCTTTTATTTGAGCGTGGGGGGAAGGTGTGTTTGTGGTTTACTTCATCATATAGTTCATGTTTCCCATGGTGACAGTGACCACTATAACATTTGGCAGATTCCCATAAATTTGGCTTTGACAGTGCATAGGTTTTGCTCCTGGCACGATGGGCCAAAGGGTACATAGAACATAGAACATAGAACAGTACAGCACAGTACAGGCCCTTTGGCCCACAATGTTGTGCTGAACTTTTACCCTAAACCTAAGATCTATCTAACCTCCACCGCTACCTTATACTATCATCCATATGCCTATCTAATAGCTGCTTAAATGCCCCTAATGAGGACGACTCCACTACCCTGTCTGGCAATGCATTCCACGCCCCTACCACTCTGAGTAAAGAACTTACCTCCGACGTCTCCCCTATATCTACCTCCACTCACTTTTAAACTATGCCCCCTCGTAATAGCTACCTCCACCCTAGGAAAAAGTCTCTGGCTGTCCACTCTATCTATACCTCTGATCATTTTGTACACCTCTATCAAGTCACCTCTCATCCTTCGTCGTTCTAAAGAGAAAAGCCCTACCGCTCTGAACCTTTCCTCGTAAGACCTTCCCTCCATTCCAGGCAATATCCTGGTAAATCTCCTCTGTACCTTTTCATGATTCTATGAAATGGTGAAGGGAATTCTGTTTTATGCGCATCAGATGATGTCTATAACTAAGCTGTTCTATTCAATTAGTGAGGAAACTGAAGAGGTAGATTTCAGCTGTGAGCATGTTGACTGAGGCTGTAGGTAGCAATGCCTTTTACGTATGGAATTTCCACATTTCCTGCTGATAACTGCAGTTCCAAGGTGAGCTGTGTTACACTGTCCTTTGAAAACACACTATGTCCCAAATCCAGGAGCCTTTACAGCTGCAATTCTGATCTGGGCTCTACTTTGTTGGAAAATCAGACGGAATATCCTGGAGATTGCCCAAACTGAAGGCACCATTCATTCATCCCGATCCTCTCCCCCACTTCCATGAAAGATATTGATGGAAAATAGGAGAGGAATTCCAAAAGATAAGAACAGAAACTCATTGATTTGTGACCCGATTGTTTAAACTAAAAAGAATAAGTAGCCTTTTGGAAATGTCAGCATGAGGTTGTTAAAACTATAATTTGCTATTAAGGTGTATTAAGATGTATTACAAGAATAGAAGATTAAGGGATGAACTAATTCAGGTCTTTAAGATAATTAAAAGATTTGACAGGGTAGATCGAGAGAAACTAATTCGTTTGATAGAACACTCCAATACAAGAGACCAAAATCAACGTTCCCTGTGGGTTCTGCAGATACTACACTGTGCAGCGATCTGAAAGTCTGTGTGCAGACCGTACACCAGTCGCTGCCTGTAAAGAGCCTTGTGCTTTTAATCAGTCAGGTTAATTTCTAACATAAAGTACTGGTCTAGTCAAGTTCCTATCTACTGGAAAGAGGGAAAATGGAACAGTAACCTCAGTGATAAAAAGGGAAAATCTCATCAGTGGTAAAGAAGGATATAACAAGAGCTAAGCAGGTAGTAGCAGCTTTATCATGTGAAATTAAATAATCAAAGGATTTAAGACTGTAAAGTGAGGTGTGTATTGTTCCCTTGACAACAGCTGTGAAATGCTGGTCTGTATGAATGTAGAGATTAGACAAGGTTGCACAAAAAGCAGTGTGGAGTAATGACAGAATTTAATTTATCATGACTGGGATAAACAGACCATGTCATGAATGTATTACACTTCTTCACTATGTTCAGGAAAGTTTTACAAAACACAAAAGCATGTAAGGTTACAGGCTAGCTGCTGGGTAATGGACTAGATTAGGTAGGTGACTCTATAACTTCTTAAAAGCAACGTGGGATGAGGCAGTATTAAATTTAGGAATGATCAATGAGCAAGATTTTGATGAGAGGCTAGTGGTGCCTAAATAATATCATAATTGCTTCAAGATTTTTTTTGAAAGGAAAGCATTAAACACCTATGAAGAATACAGATTTAGATGTAGATAAATAAGATTTCTAAGTAACAAAACAGAGACTGTTCACAACAAATGGTACAAATCCTTGGATGAGCAGAAACCACAGAAAGGAGATGTCTGTGAAATTAAATTTCTCAAATAAGTCATGCCTCAATGTTCTTTTTCCATGAGAAATGAGGCCCAGTCTGTCAATCCATTCCTGATGGTTGTATAAGTGGGTATTTCTGGTATCAGGTTTGTAAACCATCAGTTCCTCTATCAGTTCTGAAGAAGGGTCACCAGACTCCAAATGTTAACACTGTTTTTTCCTTCACAGATGCTGCCAGACTTGCTGAGCTTTTCCAGCAACTTTGTTTCAGTTCCTCGATGTCCAGTTTAAATATAGAGACCAGGATTGTGCACAGTACTCTTTAGTGCGTCTGGCCAAAATTTGCTGCAGATTTTGTACAAATTCCCTAAATTTCCATTACATCTTCTTGAAACAAAGCATACTCTTTTCTTAAAGCCTTGCTATGCTACGATGCAAACTTTAAGAGATTAAGGGATTTTTACTCCAAGATCCCTTTGTTCCTCTCCCTCACCTAGAGCTGCATCTTCCAAGTGTTAAATGACATTCTTCCCACCAGACTGTACTACCTCACATTTATGTGTTGAAACTCATTAACCAGTTACTGTTTCATCATTCAGTCAGGGGATGTGGGCTTCACTGGCAAGTCACGTATTTATTGTCCTTCTCTAAAGTTGGTGGCGAGCTGCTTTCTTCACCACTGCAGTTCCATTGTCGTAGATAGACTCACCAAATCTAAATCTAAATCTAAATCTGCGCTGACACTGAGGAGTGGGACGGCCCATCAGGTAACAATAGCAGCAGTAGCCACAGAAGTGGCATCACAGCTGGGCCTGACCTACACACGGGAGAGATAAAGCATAGTAAAGCAATAGTAATTGGAGATTTGACAATCAGGGGCACAGGTAGGCACTTCTTTGGCAGCAAGAGAGACTCCAGGATAATATGTTACTTCCCCGGTGCCAAGGTCATGGATATCTCTGAGCAGATACAGGGCATCATGAAATGGGAGGGTAAACAAGACAGAAGTTATTGTCCACATTGGCACAAATGACATACATAGGAAAAGTGCCAAGGTCCTGCAACGACAATTCAGGGAGTTAGGTAGTATACTGAAAAGCAAGGCCTCTACAGTGATAATTTCAGGATTAGTTCCCATGCTACTGGAGCTAGGAACAAGACAGTGTACAATTGAACACATAGCTAAAGAGCTGGTGTAGAGGGTGAGGGTTTCAGATATGTGAATCATTGGGATGTCTTCCAAGGAAGGTGGGACCTGTACAAGAAGGATAGGTTCACCTAAGCTGAAGGGGCACCAATATCCTAGCAGGCAAGTTGCAGCAGGTCAGCAAGTATGCAGACTGGGGAAGAGCTTGAGTCTAGGGCAAGTATAGCTAAGTGGAAGTGCAGTCAGGGAGAGGTTACTGAGTTCAGTGGAGTTGGAGGCTTGGACTGTATTTGCTCTAATGCAAGAAGTATAAGATGGATGAACATAGATCCTTGATTAATGCATGCAATTATGATGTTTTGCTATCACAGAGACATGGTTGAAAGAGGGACAGGATTGGCAGTTTAATGTTCCGGCATATCAATATATTAGATGAAACAGAGGAGGAAGCAAAAGAGATGGGGGAGTTGCATTACTGGTTAGGGAGCATATCACAGCTGTACTGAGGGTGGACACCCTGGAGAGATCTTGCAGCGAGGCATTATGGGTAGAGCTCAGGAATAGGAAAGGTGCATTCACAATGCTGGGATTGTACTACAGCCCTCCCAGCTGCCAGAGGGAGATGTAGTCAGATGTAGTCTAGAAAGATGTGAAAATAAAAGGGTTGCTGTTGTGGGTGATTTTAACTCCCCACTACCCCCCATATTAACTGGGACTCCTTTAGTGCCAGGGAGCAGTTTGTTAGGTGTGTTCAGGGCTTTTTTTTGAAGCAATATGTGGATAGTCCAACATGGGAGTGGGCCATATTAGGCCTAGTATTGGGAAATGAGCCTGGCCAGGAGATCAAAGTTTCAGTGGGGGAGAATTTTGGTAATAGTGACCATATCTTCATAAGTTTTCAGATACTTATGGATAAGGACAAGAGTGAACCTCAGATGAACGTGTTAAATTTGGGGAAGGCCAACTATGACTGAATTAGGCACGAATTGTAGAATGTGGATTGGAAGTGGCTGTTTGAGGGTAAATCCATATCTGACATGTGGGAGTCTTTTAAGGACCAGTTGATTAGAGTGCAGGACAGGCATGTTCCTGTGAAAATGAAGGACAAGTATGGCAGGGTTCAGGAACCTCGGATGACTGGGGAAATTATCAGCTTAATTAAAAAAAAAGGAAGCATACCTAAGATCTAGGTAACTAAAAACAGAAAAAGCCTTTGAAGAATATAGAGAAAGTAGTAAGGGGCTTGAATGGGGAGTTATGAGGACTAAAAGGGGCTATGAAATATCTTAGGCCAGCAGGGTTAAGGAGAATCCCAAGGCATTTTATACATATATTAGGAGCAAGAGGGTAGCTGGGGAAAGAGTAGGCCCTCTCAAACATAAAGAAGGGAGGTTATGTGTGGAGCCAGAGGAAATGGGTAAGATCCTTAATGAACACTTCACATTGGTATTCACCAAAGAGAGGGGCGTGAGGGATGTTAAGGTTAGGAAAAGATGTGTGAATGCTCTCGGGCAGGTCAACATGACAAAGGCGGAAGTGTTGGGTGTCTTGAACTACACCAAGGTAGACAAGCCCCTAGGGCCAGATGGATCTAACCCAGGATACCGTGGGAGGCAAGGGAGCAAATACCTGAGGCCCTAACAGATATTTTTGCATCATCTTTCATCTCAGGAGAGGTTCCAGAAGACTGGAGAATGGTCAATGTTATTCCTTTGATTAAGAAGGGAAACAGAAATAGTCCAGGTAATTACGGACTGGTGAGCCTGATGCCTGTGGTGGGGAAGCAGTTGGAGATGATACCAGAGAGACAGAATTTATTCACTTTTGGAAGTGAACGGACTTGTTAGCAAGAGGCAGCATGAGTTTGTGTGGGGAAAGTCATGACTCGCCAATTTGAGTTTTTTGAGGAGGTGACAGGAATGATTAATGAGGAAAGGGCAGTGGATATTGTCTACATGGACTTTAGTAAGGCATTTGATAAGGTACCTCATGGCAGGCTGGTACAAAAGGGAGAGTCTCATGGGACCTGGGGTGTGCTAGCTAGATGGATATAAAACTGGCTTGGTCATAGAAGACAGAGAGTGGTGGTGGAAGGGTTTTTTTCGGAAAGGAGATCAGTAACTAGTGGTGTTCCTCAGGGTTCTGTGCTGGGACCTTTGTTGTTTGTAATATATATAAATCATTTGAAGGAAAATTTAGATGATGTGATTAGTATGATTATGGATGACCCCAAAATTAGCAGAGTTGCAGATAATGAAGAAGAATGTCAAAGGATACAGTGAGATATAGATAGATTGCAGATTTGGGCAGAGAAATGGTAGATGGAGTTTAATCTGGACAAATGTGAGGTGATGCATTTTGGAAGATCAAATTCAGGTTTGAATTATACAATAAATGGCAGAACCCTTAGGAACATTGACACACAGAGGGTCTGGGTGTACATGTCCACAGATCCCTGAAAGTGGCAACACAGGTGGATAAAATGATCAAGAAGGCATACAGCATGCTAGCCGTCATCAGGTGGGGCATCGAATATAAAAGTTGGCAAGTTATGTTAGGGCTGTATAAAACTTCAGTTCGGCCAGATTTGGAATATAGCATGCCACATGACCAGAAGGACATGGATGCTTTGGAGAGGGTGCAGACAAGGTTTACCAGGACATCACTTGGTCTGGAGGGTTATAGTCATGAGGAGAGGTTGGATAAACTCGGATTGTTTTCACTGGAAAGATAGAGGTTGAGGGGTGACCTGATGCAAGTCTGCAAAATTATGAGAGGCACAGTTAGGGTGGATAATAAGAGGCTTTTTCCCAGGGTGGAAAGGTCACCTACAAGAGGGCACAAGTTCAAGGTGAGAGGGGAAATGTTTAGGGGAGAAGCACGGGGAAAATTTTTCACCCAGAGGGTGGTGGGTGCCTGGGAACGCACTGCCAGTGGAGGAGGTGGAAGCAGGCACGTTAGCTATGCCTAAGGTGTATCTTGATAGACACATGAACAGGAGGTGAACAGAGAGACAGAAACTGCACATGGGCAATAAGTAGCGGGTTGAAATAAGGATTAGGAATTGGTGCAGGCTTAGTAGGCCAAAGGGCCTGTTCCTGTGCTGTGTTGTTCTTTGTTATACTCTTAGGTGTTTAATATCTTTCCTGTCAAACACTATCACAAATCTATTATGATCACAATTAGATATATATTCAGGCACCATTAGTCTTTTGATAATTACTAGCTCATTAATCATTCCTAAATTTCATACAGTCCAGTCCCATGCTGTTTTTAGCATGTCATAGAGTCACTGATCTAATCTAGGCCCATCACCCAGCCCTTAGCCTGTGTTAGAGAAGGCTGTTCTTGTCCATTATGCAAGTATTGGATATTTCAGTCAGACAGTAGGATTTATTTTAAGGAAGTAATATTGTGGATGCTGAAAGTTTGAGATTGTTTTTGAACCTGTCATGCAGGTGCAGTAAACAGACTGGCCTAAACTTATAATTAATGCATGATCACAGCCTAATCTTCTAATAGATCTTTCCTCTTCAGCTTTACATAGTTCACAGTCAATTTACAAACAATGAAGAAATTACCAGGGTGTGGTGTTTCTTTTTTATATAGAACAACGTATCTTTTACAATCTGAATTGGCTTGCGAAATGTTTCTCTGTATTAATGCAGCACATGATAGTGTCACACTAAACTGATCATAACTCTGTTTTAATCTCATACTGTACATGGTAATGGAGATAATAACTGCTTCATAGTGGGCATAATGAGAGGCTCCCAATCATAAACCTGCCCTGTTTTCCTCGTTATCTGCACTTCTATTATAGCTATGGGGTCTTTTCATTCATAATTACATATTTATTACAAATAACAAAGATGATTTGGAGTTGGGGACTAAGTGTGGTGTGTCAAAATTTGCAGATGACACTAAGGTGAGTGGTAGAGCAAAGTGTGCAGAAGACACTGAAGGTCTGCAGAGGGATATAGATAGTCTAAGTGAGTGGGCAAAGGTCTGGCAGATGGAGTACAATGTTGATAAGTGTGAGGTCATCCATTTTGGTAGGAATAACAGCAAAATGGACTATGTTTTAAATGGTAAAAAATTGCAGCACGCTGCTGTGCAGAGGGACTTGGGTGTCCTTGTGCATGAATCGCTAAAAGTAGGATTGCAGGTGCAGCAGGTAATTAAAAAGGCAAATGGAATTTTGTCTGCCATTGCTAGAGGGATGGAGTTTAAAAACAGGGAGGCTATGCTGCAGCTGTATAGGGTCCTGGTGAGGCCACACCTGGAGTACTGTGTGCAGTTTTGGTCTCCTTACTTGAGAAGAGATATACTAGCACTGCAGGGGGTGCAGAGGAGATTCACTCGGTTGATTCCAGAGTAGAGAGGGTTGGATTATGAGGAGAGACTGAGTAGACTGGGATTATACTCATTGGAATTCAGAAGAATGAGGGGAGATCTTATGGAAACATATAAGGTTATGAAGGGAATAGATAAGGTGGAGGCAGGGAGGTTGTTTCCGCTAGCAGGTGAAACTAGGACTAGAGGGCATTGCCTCAAAATAAAGGGAAGCAGATGTAGGACTGAGGTCAGGAGGAACTTCTTCACCCAAAGGGCTGTGAATCTGTGGAATTCCCTGCCCAGTGAAGCTGTTGAAGCTACCTCGCTGAATGTTTTTAAGGCAAGGCTAGATAAATTTTTGAACAGTAAAGGAATTAAGGGTTATGGTGAGCAGGAGGGTAAGTGGAGCTGAGTCTCAAAAAGATCAGCCATGATCTTATTAAATGGCGGGGCAGGCTCGAGGGGCCAGATGGCCTACTCCTGCTCCTAGTTCTTATGTTCTTATGTTCTATATAAACCTGACAAACGCTAATTCTGACCTGGACCGAGCATTTGTTTGGGTTTAAGTGTGGAGCCTAGAAGTGCTGTACATATTTGACTTGGCATTTCTCAGAGCAGGGTTAGTGCTGACGAAAGAGCTTGATGTACTTTCAGCGACATGACACGTTTCACTCAGACCTACCTCCTTGCTGAAGACAAAATTTCGAGTTGGTTTCTGGCTGCTGCCCTGAGCACTGCATTTACATTGAGGGTGTTGGGAAATTGAATACTGAGGCCGGGGCTTCTTATGCAAGTACAAAAACAGAAGGACTCTATGAGGAAGATTCCTACCTCATTGCACGGCTCAGCTTCTCGTAGGTCATACTGCTGTTGTTCTTCTTCTTACCCCAGAGTTGAGCCACAGCTTCTGACTTGAGGAAACGGAAAACCCCTTCAGACCTGTCCTCCCACTTCAGCAGTCCTGGGTTCTTGTCTGAGTCCAGCAGGATGTCTCGAATAAACTCCCACAAGTGTGTCCCTCGAGGAGCTGAACAGAAAAGCACACAAGGAACTGAAGGGCAGAAAGACTTGCATTCATGTAGCACCGTTTGCAACTCCAGATCATCTAACTGCCAGTGCAGTACATATCATTGGAAATGCGGCAGCACATAGAAAGCCCTTACAAACAGCAATGAAATGAATGACCAAACCATGTAGTTTAGATGTTGCTTTTGAGGGATGGGAAAATGTTCTTTTGTAAAGTCTCCGGAGGTAGCATTTGATAAGAAAATATTCATCAGGGATCATCATGTGTCAATGTTATGGTTTTATGGGAGAGGAGTTTGAGGAGAAGCAATAAATGCTGGCCAGCCAGTGACACACAGATCCCACGAATGAATAAAAAAATGAGAATTGAATGCAAGAGTAGGGAGGTCGTGCTTCAGTTATACAGGGCATTGGAGGGACTGCATCTGGAGCACTGTGTAAGTGCTGGTTGTTGTACTTCTGGAAGGATGTTAATGTCTTGGAGGCAGTTCAAGGAAGGTTCACCAGACTAATACCTGCAATGTGTGGACTGCCTTATGAAGAAAGGCTAAACAGTCCAGGCCTGTATCCTTTGGAGTTTAGAAGACGTGGGGGTGACTTAATTGAAACATATAGGACCCTGAGGTACCTTGTCTGGGTGGATGTTGAAAGGATGCTTTCTCTTGTGGGAGAATCTAGAACGAGGGGGTAATAGTTTAAAAATAAGAGGTCATAGAGATGAGGAATCATTTTGTTTTCTCCCTGAGGGTTATGTCTTTAGAATTCCCTTCTTTCAATAGGCAGTGGATCTTTCAATATTTTTAAGACGGTGGTAGATAGATTCTGGATAAGCATGACGATGAAAGATTAGCAGAGATATGCAGGAATGCAGAGTGAGATGAAAGTCAGATCAGCCATGATCTTGTTGAATGGCAAAGTAGGCTTGAAGAACCAAGTGGCCTACTGCAGTTCCTTGTTTGGGTCTCTGTTCATCATCCACTTTCAGATCTAAGACACAAAGAGGGAGAGGCAACCTCTACATTTTAATGTCAATATGGTCAACAAAAGTGAATAAAACAAAGATTTGGATTTACATGCCATCTTTTCTCATCACCACAAAGTGTTTTGCAGTCATTGAAGCACTTCTGAAGTATCGTCACTGCTGTAGAAAATGTGCAGCCTGTCTGCGCATAGCATTTGAATGAGCAGATAAATATTGGTCAGGGTATCAGAGGATAACACCCCAATCTGCTTTGAAATAGTACCATCAGATGTTTTGCACCATGTGAGAGAGCAGCCAGGGATCTGAGTTTAGCATCTCATTGCAAAGAAAGGACAAATGTGAGAGAGTCCAGTGATGATGGGACTCTGTAAGTAATGGTTCAGTTAAGATTGCCAGAACACAGCAGTAGCGCTAGATGTATTTTTATTTTGAAGGCCTTGTGTTCACTAGCCTGCTGAGTGCATCATCATAACTTGGCATTAAACGGAACAATAAGCATGATTGAAGAATGATTATTCTCTGCTTTAAACTTAGCTGAGGTTTAGTTGGGCAGACAGAGAGTCTGAGAACTGTCAACCATTAGGAAGATAGGGTCATAGAGCACAGAAACATACCCTTCAGTCCAACTCGTCCATGCCGACCATGTCCTAAATTAACCTCGTTCCATTTGCCAGCATTTGGCTCATATCATTCTAAATGCTTCCTATTCATGTATCCATCCAGATGCCTTTTAAATATTGTCATTGTACCAGCCTCCACCACTTCCTCTGGCAGCTTGTTCCATACATGCACCACCCTCTGCATGAAAATGTTGCCCTTTAGGTCCCTTTTAAATCATTCCCCTCTCATCTTAAACTTATGCCCTCTAGTTTTGGACTCCTCTGCACTGGGGAAAAGAGCTATCCATGCCCCTCATGATTTTCTAAACCTCGATAAGGTCACCCCTCAGCCTCCGACACTCCAGGGGAAATAGCCCCAGCGTATTCAGCCCCTCCCTATGGCTCAGATAGGAACAGGAATAGGCCATCCAGCTCTTGCAGCCTGTTCACCCACCATTCACTAAGATCACATTTGACCTGTGATCGAACTCCATACCTTCGCTTTGTATCATTGAATCCCTCTGGTTAAGAAAAGCAATCAATCAATCTCGGATTATCAATTAAGAAACGGCCTAGCATCCCAGGTTTCGTTTTGAAAATTTCAATCAAATCACCCCTGAATCCTTATAAATTCCAAGGAATCCAACCACGCTTTGTATGAATTCTGTTTGTAGTTTAACCATTCTGGTGAGTCTATAATGCTTTGGTCCAGAGGCTGTTACGAGTTGTCAGTGCTGTTTTATCCTGAAGTGAGTACAAATCCCCCAGGGCTTTACGTCAATTGTTTTGTCATTTCTATTCTCTTGTATTCTATTCTCCATCCGTCAACGGCAGCTGCTAGGCACCTCTAAACTGTGCCATTTGTTCTCCCATCTCACCCCACTGCCTTCTCCCAAAAGGTATGTCCCAGCACAGGGGAAAAGTGAGTCAGGTTGTAGACTTGCTCGCCAAGCCAGTGTGTTTGATTGCAGACGTTTCGTCACCCTGCTAGGTAACGCCATCAGGGTACCTCCAGTGAAGTGTTGGCATTCTGTCTCGCTTGTTATTGATATGCCTTAGATTGCCGGTGTGGTTGGTATAACTTGCAGTTCTGTTTTTCAGTGGTTTGTATATCAGGTCCAGTTCAATATGTTTGTTGATGGAGTTCCGGGGGTTGGAATGCTAGGCCTCCAGGAATTCCCTGGTGTATCTCCGTTTGGCTTGCAGTGAGAATTGGTCATGTCTCTAGCTGGCTAGTTGTCAGTTATCTTCCAGTTCAGCCTATGTAATGTTTCTCACAGTCCTTACATGGTATTTTGTATATTATATTAGTTTTATTGGTTGTAGGTATGGGATCCTTTACGTTCGTCAGTAGCTGTCACGGGGTGGTTGTTGATTTGCGGGCTACGCTGATACCTAGGGGTTTGAGTATTCTTGTGGTCGTCTCTGATGTATGGTAGGGTAATTAGTGAATCTGCCTGTGCTGTGTCTTCCTGTTGTGGTCTGTCGTGGAGGTAACAGCAGATTGTGCTTTTTGGGTATCATTCCTTTTAAAAACTCTGTATAAGTACTCCTGTTCTGCTTTGTGCAATTTCAGGTTGCTGCAGTGTGTTGTGGCCTGTTTGAATAATGCCCTGATGCAGCTCTGTTTATGGATGTTGGGGTAGTTGCTGGAGTAGTTAAGTCTCTGGTCCGTATTTATGGTCTTTCTGTACACGCTAGTCTGGAGATCCCTGCTGTTCTTACATTCTACCATTATATCTAGGAAGGGTGGTCAGTTATTGTTGTCTTCTTCTTTTGTGAATTTTATTCCAGTGAGGACATTGTTTATGTGTCAGTGGGTTTCTTCTAGTTTCGTTCATTTGATAATCACGAAGGTGTCATCTACATAGCGGACCCAGAGTTTGGGTTGTGTAATTGGGAGTGCTGTTTGTTCTAACCTTTGTGTTACCGCTTCTGCAATCAGTCCTGATATTGGGGATCCCATTGGTGTTCCATTGATTTGTTTGAATATACAGTCATTGAAGATGAAGTGGGTTGTGAGGCACAGATCGAGCAGTTTCAGGGTGCTGACCTTGTTGATGATGTTGGTGTCATGGGGCGTCTGCCTTCCTGATTCGTCCAGCAGTTTGGCAATTGTCTCTTTGACTAGGTCGATGTTTATAGTTGTAAATAGTACTGTTACATCAAAGGATATCATTTTATCTCATCTTCTTCTATTCTGGTATCCTGATGATGTTGAGGAATTCTAGGGAGGAGTGGATGGAATGGGTAATGTTGTCAACTAAGTATTTCACTTTCCGTTGCAGTTCTTTGGCTAATCTGTATGTTGTGTGCCTGGTAGTGAGACAATGGGTCTGAGGGGGACTCCTGGCATGTGTACTTTGGGGGGTCCATAGAAGCCGGGTGTGTTGGAATCCTCTGGCTTCATTTTTTGGTAGTCTGTCTTGCTGATGTTTCCTGAGCTGTGTAATTTCTTCAGGGTTGTTGTAATCTGGTTCCCTAACTGTGATGTTGGGTCTGTTGCCATCATTTGGTAGGTGTCAGTATTTCCTAGTAGTGTGTTGGCTTTCTCGATGTATTGATCTCTGCTAAGGATTACTGTCGTGCGTACTTTGTCCGCTGGTAGGATTATGATGTTTCTGTCTTTCCTGAGCCTTTCCGTGCTTTCTTCTCTTCTGTGTTGAATGTGTTCCACTTACCTTTTCTGCTCAGTGTTGGGACTACTGCTTGTCTGATAGTCTGTTGTATTTCCTCTGTGAGTCTGTTGCTCACTAGTGTCGATTCCAGTGCAGCCAGCAAGACAGTTTTTTTGGTGCCTCCATAGTTATAGTTCAGTCCATGTGCTCGGATGGTCTCCTCAATATCTGTAAGTGGCCAGTCTGAGATGTTCTTGATCCATGTGTCTGTGTTGTTGTTGTGAGTGAATTTGGATATTTTGTCCTGTAGGGCTATTCTTTCCTCTGTTCTGGTCCTCTGTTGTTGTATGGAGATGACTTGTTCCAGCGTGATTGCCCATTCTTGGTCGGTTGCATTGGAGTACAAAGTATTTTGGTGCGCAATTTCCCATTCATGTTTGTGGAGGCTGTTATGGGCATCGTTGATCATAACCCTATCATTCTGCAACCGTTCTGTGCAGCTGTTTTCCGTGCCTGTGGATTGTTGACCAGTGGTTTATATTTTAAGCTTCATAGTAGTACCTGTTTTCTGAGTAAGTATAGTTGTTTGCAGGTTGCGCTCAGATGGATGGCATTTGTCTCCTATCTGCGGGCCGGGTTGAGGGTGTTGTGCCCTTAGGTGTTTAAAGTTTTTGAGAAGATTTGTAGCTCCGCTCATGGATGAGGTTGTAGACTTGCTCACCAAGCTAGTGTGTTTGTTTGCAGATGTTTCATCACCCTGCTAGGTAACATCGTCAGTGCACCTCCGGTGAAGCGGTGACGT